ACAAATCATTTGTACAATAATATCCAAAGACCTTTGTATAATAATTTTGTAATATTTTTGTACAATAATGTGTTAAAAATTTTGGATAATATTGTGTCTGTACCATATTAATTAATATTGTACTTTTAACCTTGTATTTTCGCATATATCTTACTCGTGTTGTACACTAAATAAATTGACTCACATGAGCCAACGTTGTGACCCATTGTGACCGTGTGACCGAAGTGCAATTTTACACTGTGTGACCATTGTGACCGACTGTGATCCGTTACCGAAATGTGTTGATAAATATAGACCAAAATTTAATTTTTAAACTTCGGAGTGGTTTATCAGGGTGTATATATCAAATATATAGTGTATGTGAGAAATTTTCAAAATATTTTAAGGGGTTTGTAGAAGAAATATTCCAAATTTGTCAAAAACACTTATAAAACACTATGAAATATATAGAAACACATTTGGAATAACAACTCTAAAACACAAAAATCGCAAAAACCATATTCTAATGTTCGAAACAATAGAGAATAGGCTTATGAAATATATGTGACATTGTAGAGTAATTAAATTGACAAAAATCGCATGGATCGAAGATTGTGACCGGTTGTGACCATTGTGATCCATTGTGACTGAAATGTGATGTGGGACCCACAGGAAGAACTAGTCAGATTTCTCCAGATTTTTATGTTTTGTAAGGTCCACAATCATTATTTCCATTTTTAATTTTAATATGGTGCATATTTTGAATATTCAACCCTATATAATTTCCCTCTTAACCCTATATTTTTTCCCTCCCAATTTTTAACCCCAAATTTTTACCTACAAAATTTTCAACCCATAATTTTTCTCTTATTCCATTGTGTGGACCACTTTGACAATTCAACCTAGATTTCTTGTGGGGACTACTTTGACAATTTAACTCATTTCACAATTGAAAAAAACGTAATTTTATTTTAACCTTATATTTTTTTTCTCCATCAATTTAAGTTTAAAATTTTTCATACAATAATTTAGACTCATATTTTACATAAAACATAAATAAATTCAGATTTCTAATAAACAAAAAACTAAATACAAGAGTTCATAATTTAGTCTACTACCAAATAAAGAAAAATATATCATAGTTAGGGTTCAAGACAAAATAAACAAAGTAAATTTAGTGAAATAAATTAAAAATTTACACTTTCGTCTTCTGAAATATTTGTTGTCATGTCTTCCGATTCTACTCATGCGTCGATCAGCTCTATGAACATAGTATCACAAGTCAAATAGTTGCATCCTATGTAGGTCACGTGATGCTTTATAATGCAGGTGTGGAGTTCATACATCGTCTCTTCCATATGCTACAAAATAAAATAATATATGTCAATAATATTTTCTAGATATCATCGTGTGACACTATAACCATGTGACTGTATAACTATAAAACTATATGATTATGAGACCGTGTAACTATGTGACCATGTGACTAGGTTCGTTTTCAGATGTCGTATCCAAAACTGAACCATTCCATCTGTACTCCCCTCGTACCCTTCCAAATAAAAAAGAAGTGTTTCTTCACCCCTTTCTATATGCAATATAGTCAATCGGAATCTTGTGACCTTGTGACCAGGTGATCATGTAACCATGTGACCATGTGACTCGTGACTATTGTATATTGTGATATAGGCGTACCTATATGATCCTGTGATCATGTGACCTTTGTAACTGTGACCGTGTGACATTGTGACCATGTGACCTTGTGACTATGTGACTATGTGACTATGTGATCATGTGACCTTGTGACCATGTGACCATGTGACTCGTGACTATTGTATATTGTGATATAGGCATATCTATATGATCCTGTGACATTGTGACCTTTGTGACTGTGATCGTGAGACCATAACATTTGAATCCTCATGTCATCTATACATCCAAACAACGACCAATACAGTGATGTGACCTATATGACTGTCTTATTTGACCGAAACTCAACCATTTCACTCGATTTGATCCAAACCCGCAAACCAACATTCTATTTTGAAATTCCCAAATTTAAAAAAAAAACCCAAAACCCTAATGCTTTATCGTTCAAATCCCCAACCCACACTTCAACCCAATAAGAACACATCTCAAAATCAAACAAATTTACAAATAAATTGAATTTTAACCTACCTTGTGTTCATCTAACTCCGTAATCTCCATAAAGTTACTACTTTTGCTCGAAAAATGTGACGAAGATTAACATTAACTTGTCATTTCTTCGATGTCGTCATTGCTTCTTCTATCTCTTCAATTTTTGGTGGTTAAATGTAATTTGAAAAATCCAAAACCCTAAATTTCTGTCAGTCAAATTTCGAAACCACACTTTAACTCAACAACAACAAATTTCAAAATCCAACAAATCTAAAAGAAATTGAAGTTTAACCTACCATGTTTTTGTCTAACCTTGCAATTTCCATACGGTTTTCATTTTTTCTTCGGATCTTGAATCTAACCGGAGATTTAAACAGAAAATAGGACAAAACGCAAAAGATTGCACAAAACGTAAAAGATTAGAAGTTTTGAAAGAGAGTGAGAGAGCTAAAATCGTGAGAGTTAGGAGAGAGAAGAAAAAGATTTATGAAGAGAGAGAAAGTGGAAGAAGAATAAAGTTAGGAGAGAGAGAGAAATAAAAATAAAGTTACGTAACTTTATTTTTATTTTTTATTTTTGAATTTTTTAAATTGAAAGAAATATAGGGTTTTTTGTATTTTCATTAATATATGAAGATTTTATTGTCTTTTGCCATAATAAATAGTATTTTTTGTTTAATTTTTTGTTTAGAGGGTAGTATGAAAAATCCAAATAGCAGTAAAAGAGTATAGCAACTATTTCCCCTGTTAGATAATAATGAAAATATTCAGTCACATCTTCACTGATGCTTCACTGGTCCAAATACGAACAGAATATATTTTACATGATAGTTATCTAGAAAAAAGAAACTATATATTATATTAAAATTATTTCATCGTCATATTGACTCACTCACTACCTTCGTAACCATGTTTTGCAATTGAAATTAAAAAAAAAGAGAGAGAGAAGTTGAAAAGCCACTCTCATGGATAACCATATATCCATCATATACTTGTTATTTTAGATATTATTTAGTTTCATTATCCGAATTAAATATGTTATAATTAACATATCCCTTGAAAATTTGAATATTAATAAACACTATGTATATATATAATTTTAAAAAATGGCAGAACTTTAATTTCATTATTCAAATAAAAATAATCCACCAAAAAGAATCATTTAAAATCATAATAATAACAAATAATGATTTTGAAATAATTGAACAAAATAATTCCATTACAAGATCCAAGTAGTGTAACTTTTTATTAGACGAGAAATTTTTTTTGGCATCCATGTTTTCAATTCTGTATGAACTCAAGGGAGAATTTGAAAATAAACCAAAATTAATTAGTACCACAATAACAAAATAAAAATAGCAAATTTTAGATTATTAGTACATAATATATTCACATACAAACACATTATTTTTATTTCTTTCGGAATATATAGTACATATCATAATAATGTAATAAAGATTTTTAAAATTTTAATGAGCAATTATAATATATTAATACTCTCCACTATATTATATTAACCAATTAACTTGAACGAGAGTTATTTTTCAGAAAATGGAACCTAGTTCATATTAATAAAAGGAAACCGTTTAAAAAACACGAAATTTCAAAAAACTTAAATATAAATATACAAAATTTGAAACTTCGACCAAAAATACATAATTTTTTTTTTTTTAAAATTCATATTTTCTAGGCGAGCCTTGATCATATATCATCGCTAGTGCGAGTCTGATCAATGATTTCGATTCGGGTAAACTCAATATCGTTCAATTGGGTAATGAATTCATCGGTTCAATCTCAATTTCAATGCCTGAACCGGGTTTTGTGGTTATGGTTTTAGGTTTTGATTCGCATTTGTGTGATGCAGACTGTTCTTGAGGAAACCCTCTGCTTGAAAAAGAGGGGTTGAGATGCGAAATCATTTCCATCATATTGTTCACGTGGCTTGATCATGCTGTTCTGCCCGAATCAGAACTTCGATAGATTCTTTTCGGAATCAATCCGCTGAATTCGATTCATATCGTGCTAACGTTTTCGGTTTAGTTCCGACAACTTTGCGAACCGAACCGGGATCTGCAGTCTTTACGTGTTACCCAAGTAATCGGTCTTGACATGTTCGTGATTCAATGCTGGATAACCCTTTGCCCTTTGGAACACATTTTAGGACAAGACTATGCTGTTGTTTGAGCGTTTTCTTCATGAGTTAAATGATTTTGATCTATTTTGCTATCGATTTAGATAATGGGTTTTAATGTTTTCGTTTCATCTTACGGATCGGGAGAAATTTCAATGGTAATACACATTTATGAAAGTAAATTGATGTGTGTTATATCTATGTTACTTACAATTTTAGGATTCAGAATCCGATCCTAAACCCGTTATCAGTCGATATCTGAATTTCGATATCTGAAATGTTCGATACTTGATTGATATCTGAATTTCGAATCGCTGAAATGTTCGACATTTTGAGGGTAATTCGAAGAGAAAAATAGATATATTCAGAAAATGAGAATGAGAACCGAACGAGGTGACACGAGATGATTCAATTCAGAAACACTATTTAGGGTTCGGTGGGTGAATAACTTTTTTAGGATGTCCAATTTGTTTAATAACCGAACATTTGGACCGATCCAAACCGAATAAAAGAAGTGAATGGTTATTGATTAAATTTAGAGCCAATGGAGCATGACCATTAATTACCTTTCCGGTTTTGGTTACACAAAACGGGTTCCGTAACCGATTTGGACCGACTATAAGAGGTTTAACTCATACCAATTAAACCGAAATAAACCTCTCCATTAATCTATTCTCTAAAACTTTAAAAATAAAAAAATATTAGTAAAATAGATATTTTTAATAAAAATCGAAATCGGACCGAAACCGAATATAATACCCTATTGGTACACCGAACTGATTGAATATTGTACCGAATTCGAAACGAATACCAAAATATCCATTCCTGGTTTTGGTTACACAAAACCGGTCCCATAACCGGTTTGGACCGCTTATAACCGGTTTAAGTCGGACAAGTTAAACCGGAAAGACCCTCTTCATGGATCTGTCCTCTGAAACCTTATCCAGAAGAACACAGATCAGAGAAAACGATGGAGGACACGACATGGGAACAGAGATTACAAGCCCTAACTCACATCCTGACGAGCCCAACAACGAAACCATCGCTCCAATCTCAGTTCTTCATCGCGACCCAGATCCCGTGTTACCTCTCATGGGACTACCCCCCGATTCTCTGCTCTTCATCCTCAGAGACCCATCTCCTTCTCCGCTGGTCAATCTCTCTTTTCCTCAAAAGGGTATCTAGTTTCGGCAGAATCGAGACCTCGTGGCGGTGCAAATGCCCGTATTCTCAGCCGCCGCCGGCGAAATCGGCCGCCGGGGAGTGGGGAGTGAAGGAGAGGAGAGAGTACGTGAGGAAGCGGCTGAGGAGGGGCAGATTGGCGAATCACGTGAATCCTCTGGTTCCCATTTTGGTTCCTAATCTCCTCCTGTTCTCTCTCTTGCTCTGGAATCCACTCCCCTCAGCTTGATGATTGAGAGATCAATTTCTGATGGGTTTCCTCCTTTGATTTTGATGATGTTGATTGATAATGATGATTGGGTTTGATGGTTGAATGGTCAATTTCTGATGGGTTTCCTCTTTGATTATTGATTATTTTGATTATTGGGTTTTTGTGACAAGAAATGTTGAAACATGTTTGTCAAATTTAGGGTATAGATTATATAATAAGGTATATATATGATATCCAACAGATGAACCCAAGATTCTGAGTGGGTATTGGAGTTTGCAAGTGAATGAGGTTTTGTGATGATTTTATTGGAGTTTATATGTTTTGGGTTTTAGTTTTTTTTTGTTAGAAAATTCTCGGTTTATTTCGGTTTACTATTGAATCTGTATTTCCGGTTCAATTTGTAGGCTAAACCATGAACAAAGTCTAAACCGAAAACAAATCGAACCGGAAATACAAAGTAAACCGAAATAAGTGGAAAAATATTAATCTTCTGATAGTTTTCATATATGGTACTATTTAGGGTATGGGTTGGTATATGTGATTTTAGTATGGGACCGTGGGATGTCAAATGCGTCGGTTCGGTCTAAATTGATCTAGATCGGTCCGAATTTGGTTGCGACCCGTTTTCCAGGAGTTAAAAAAAAATTATTCGGTTTAGATCGTTTCGATTCACGAATTGGTTCACGATTCAAATAAAAAATATAAAAATATTAAATATATTTAAAAAAATAAAAATAAAATATATCAAATAGGTAATCCATATTTTATAAGTAAAATTAGAATATTTTTTTTATAAATAAATTCATGTTTTCGTTTGTGATATTTACAAAAAAATAAATAATAAAAACAAACACAAATATGATATAAGAGGTCATTTTTCATCTGAAAATTTGAATATAAATTGGATGATTTCCATTTTGTGATCTCATCCATGATCTATGTGAACAATTTTTTTTTATCGTATGTAGTGTATAAAATACTTTGATTTTACCACAGATTCAAAATTCTAAAACTTAAATATTGGACATCCTATATTTTTATTTATTTTAAAAAACTATCCGAAAATCTACAAATCTTTGGTATTATTCAAGTATTTGTGGACAGTTTCAATTTATAAATTACCCAAAAACCAAAAGGGCTTAGAAACTTGTATGGACTTTTTGATCCATATTTTGTGTATATCAATATAAAATCCAACATACTAATATCCATAAATCCTCTTTCTGCAGGTGATAAAGTTATAATATGGTATTTTATATATATATATATATATATATATATAAATGAAAAAGGAAATGACAAAACGTGTGAGTCCAATTCCGATAGTCACGCAATAAAACTCACACAAACACATTGACAAATGACCAATGAAATTGAAATCCTCCTTTGTTTTTATTTTTCCTCTTGTGGTGGGTCAAACCTTAATTACCGAATCTTCCTTTCTATTTATTTCCCTTTTTCTTTTTCTACTTCCTATTTTTATTCTTTCTCTTTTTTTATACTTTTTTTAGAATATAAATTTGGAGTTATAATTCGACTATTTTTTAATTTTTTTAAAATGATATTATTTGATGTTTATAACGGATCAATTTGATCCAACTAAAATTATTTTTTTAAGAAAAATCTCCTAAAAAAATCAAGAACTTTTAAGAAAGTACCATATAAAATTATGAACTTATAACTTCTAATATAAAATCATTAATTTTATTAATCTTGTAATACTTTCGCAAAATTCATAAGTTCATGATTGATATGGAAGTTAATTTTTTTTTTTGCAAAGTTAATAAAATAAATATATGGAAATATGAAAAGATTTATAAAGTTCATGATTTTATATGGAAACTACAGTTCGTGTTTTTTAGACTATTTTTCCTATTTTTTTTAAAAATATTTTCATTTCATTCATTTTTACTATTTTATATTCAATCGATTTTAAATTAAATTTGGTTGGATATATATTATTCCGTTACTTCCTGTTTTATTGGTTTATTTTTTCTTCTTCCCAAGCTATTGATATCTTTTAATGTGTCCGAAAAGGAGAAGTACTTACTCTCCCATACTTGAAATATTTAAACAATAAAAATAAATGGCAAATCAAAGATTTGATATTTAATTTTTCAAAAGTAAAATAACCAATATAAAATTCCAACGTTGAAATTGGGAAAATCACATCCTAGGGTTTGCTTGATTGATGGCATAAAATGACACACCTAACATTATATTTCCTAAAGTATTTTATACATCCGTTTACATATTTAATACGTTTTTTCCATGAAATCCATCCAAATTTATATATATAATATAAAATTTTTATATCATTATTTTATGATACGTTACACAAGATTCATAACGCAACTCGCGTTATCACGCAATTATCCGCAAACCTTTGCGACTTGCGAAATATAAAAAAATTGGTTGATTTCATTGCAATCATCTGTAATCTCAACAAAACATGAAAAATATAATCGCAATTTCCACATTTTTGTTTTGATATTTTTTGCTAAACATACCAAAATATCATAATATTTTTTAAAAAAAATTGTAATAACATCGCATACTTTTGATAATTTACATCATTTGTAATAATTATCAATCATTACGATATATACCGATACAATCCTTACAAAATAAAAAATTTGAAGACTTTTTTAATAAAAAAAATATAACAAAAGAAGATGGGATTTCTCGAATAATTGAATATTTATGTAATAAGATGAGAAATGAATGTGGAATTTGTGGAATAATATTTTCGAGGGATAAAAGGATAATAAATATTCAAATTTTAATTTGGGCACTCACTTATCTTATAGGGTCACATGGTTTGCCTCTTTAGTGGATGCCCCCACTCCCACTTCCACCCTCAATATTTAAAATTCCCATTTTGCCCTTTATCGGCTTTTTCATTTAAATGATTTGTATTGTACATGCAAGTAGTTGTCGCACATGGTTCATGCCAATCTTTTTCTCATTTAGAAATTTATTTCGATATTTATTTTTGGACGTAGATGTCGCAATCTTGATTTGTGATTTACCATTTCGGATATTTCACCGAATAAATCATTAAATTGAATTTCCAACAAACCATATAGTTGTAATCTACCAAATATCAGAATCAATATACATATGTTGAAAGAAGAATTCATCTACTTTTATCAAATTTATATATTTTTATATTTTTTTAAAATGAAACAACAACAAAAAAATGGGACAAACCTAAAAAAAACCTCCAACTATTACATTTACACAAAAACCCCTTCTATTTAAACTTAATTATAAAAAACCATCAACTATTAATTTAGAGTAAAAAAGACCATCAACTATATAAATTATTTCAAACTAATTTTCACTTTAAATTTGTTATAAAAAACCATCAATGATTAATTTTAATAAAAACATTAATTATCTATCTAAATTACTCAAAACATATAATGTTTTATATTTATTATAAAAATCTATTAAATTTATATAGAAAACATATATAAATTATATAATCCTAAAAATCACAATAAAAAAATAATATTAATTTAAATTTATCATATTGTAACATTTTAATATTTCAATGGTTGCAAACTATTAATTTGGCTTTTTATAACAATTAATTTTTTAAATAGGTTTCTATAATAATTTCAATAAAAAAATTCATCAACGATTTGAATTTATAAAAAATATTTGAATTCTAAATATAAAAATCTATAGCAAATAAAATATACTCAATTTACAATATTACATGTAAAAATTATCATGTTTTTTTTATTATTTTAGAATATATATATATATATATATATATTATCTCTTATATTTATAACCAATAAAATATACATAATTTACAACTTCTAAAATATTAATATATGATAAAATTTTAAATATAATATTTATAATAATAAAATATACTCAATTTTAAATATAATTTAGATAGATGATATTGTTTTTATTAAAATTGATAGTTGATAATTTTTTATAAAAAATTTAAAGTGAAAAATTGATTTTAAACAATTTATATGGTTTATGGTTTTTTTTTGCTCCAAATTAATAGTTGATGGTTTTTTATAAGTAATTTTAAGTAGAAGGTTTTTTTTTGTGTAAATGTGAAAGTTGAAGATTATTTTTAGGTTTGTCCCAAAAAAATCTTTAGAATTTAATTTTTATTTACTTATATGAATTTTAGTTACAATTTATTTTTATTTGAATTACAAACGAAAACGCACATCCTATTCTTCCTAAATATATTTCCTATGCATAACCAAATAATACAAATTATTTCTAACGAAATTTAATACATTTGAGCAATTCTATCTTTTATTCTCACCCATTAACTATCGAAATTTGAATTTTAATTTATAAATCTCTCTCTCTCTCTAGGGTTTTACAAAAAAAAAACGTGTTTCTCTCTCTAACAACCTCTTCTTTATGGCTCTCCCCTAACAAATCTTCTGCAGTTCTGTCTTTGTCATGCTTTGACCTTCTCTTGGTCGCACTCTAACTATTTTCGACTACAATTTCAATATTTGTTGTTGAAATTTTGGAATCCATGCAAAATAGTTAACAAACTAATCTTACACGTGATATTACTATACGAATTAACATCGATATAAATGAGTTATATCCAAAATTGAATGGTTCAACCGTCAAAAAAGGGAATAAAACTATTTCCAAATCTAGATGCAGAGTCTCCATTTGAGGAGGATCATTCATATGAACTTCTCCGATCATTTGAAAGATGTAGTTAAGTTAAAGAAACGGTAAAATTTCGGATCGTAAAAAAATGTAAATGAGTTATTAAAAATATATAAAAAAAAAACTTTAGTTTAGATCCAAAAAGGGTATACATATTTTCTTCTATGATCTTAGTGATATTGAACGTATCGGAGTCGGTAGTTAAGAATTTAATTAGACAATAAACGTCGTTAATTAGCCTAATAAGGATGCGAAATGAACGAAGAGTACAGACAAAGCATTGATCTAAATGATTACAACGAGTGAGAATAAAATCACCGCAGCATTTCGTACCCTCATTGCATATAATCGATTTGGGTTTTGCTTGAAAGGTTGGGAAAGGAGAGAGAGAGAGAGAGAGAGAGAGAGAGAGAGAGAGAGAGAGAGAGAGAGAGAGGGGAAAGATGCTTTACGAGGCTACTCACTCAAGGACATAGCATCATGACACTTAATGTCGATTCCTTCTAGGGTTTAATTAAAAACTATATGTTTATAAATAAACATATTTGGTCCGGCTTTATATTGTTTAACATGAAATACTGACACAAAAAAAAGATGTATTTCCATGTCTTAAAAGTATGGTTCTAGTTATTGAAATAAAAACTATGTAGATGTAATGTGCCATAGTCCACCGGTCACACATTGAAATTTTTTATAATTAATGTTAAACCAAAACCATAGTTTTTATAATGTCAATTGAAATGTTATCGTTATCTAATAATTCCATTTTTTTTTATAATTCGAAAGTTCACCGAATCTTTAATCCAAATACATCTTTCGGAAGACCGAAAAAAGTCCAGGTGAATGCACCAACTGAAGTGAAGACTCGAGAATTTTGTCTCATCCTAAAGCAGTTGAATCATCCAACCTTGTATCTAATAATCTCGTCCTATTTGTTGTTCAACATATTAACTGGAAAATTAGATAATCGTGGGGAAGAACGAGATTCATGATTTTTGTCACATTAATCACTAATTAGCAATTTAATACTAAATTTTAATTAAGATTTCATTCGTCAATTAAGCACTTACAAATAATAGTCATTAACTAATTTCCAAAGGGGGGAAAAGGTGAGCTACCTCTTTGAAAGTCATCTCATGCCAAAAGGACCCTACAATCAACCATTATCACCAATCTAGTCCCCATTTGCACCTAACGAGATTTACAAAAATAAAAATAAAAATAAAAATAAAAAACTTAGAATTCCAAAAAAAAAAAATTAAAAAAAAAAACTGGAAGGACTTCCTCTATAAAGACTTAGACTCCCACTATCTCACACAAACCCACAAAAGCCTTCACATTGCTCTTTAGCTCGAAGAGCCATCAATGGCTTCCTTCAACAGAAGCTTCTTCTTCTTCTTCATCACCGTCATCCTCTCCACTCTTCTTCTCTCCACTCAACAAATCCATGCAAGAGAGAGCTTCTTCTTTCACAAGTTCCAAAGAGACAGGAACCCTAGCTCTGTCCCTGTCGAGGCAACTCATGAGAAGACATCGGTAGAACTTCCCCCCAAGAAAGAGCAACAAGAACCTAGCTTTGTCCCCGAATCCGAAAACGGGTACGGTCTGTACGGTCACGAGACCACATACGACAACAAAAACAACAACAACAACAATGAGGAGTTCAAGTACGAGGAAAATGTCAACTACGAGCCATCCAACACTCCAACAAGCCTGAGCCAAGCCGATGATGAGTCCTACAACCTCGATAAGTACTCTAAAGACAACGAATATTACAACAATAACAACAACGACAACAACGAAAACTATTACAACTCGAACGCTTTCGGGAGGGAGAGATCAAAAGGGTACAACAGTTACAACAACGAGGAGGAGGAGAGGCAAGGCATGAGCGACACGAGGTTCATGGAGAAGGGTAAGTATTTCTTCGACCCTAACGACGACAAGAACCACGGCGACATGTACAAGAAACATTACAGGAACAAGCCAAGTTATCAAGTAAACAACTATAATTCCTTCAGACAAAACAACAACGAAGAAAACGGCTTCCAAGATCCGTACAACAGCCCCAAGTGGGAGAAGAACACGATGAACGAGCAAGAGCAGGAGCAAGAGTTCGGAGGTGAAGAGCAACAAGAACAGTTCGCGCCATGAAAGATTATTATAAATATGATTGTTCGGTCCATCAAGATATATACGAAACGTATAATAGCGTCGTTTTATGGTTTTTAAGTTTTTAAGTTATGGTGGGTGTTTAATCAAAAACCGTACGTGTTTGTTTGTGAAATGTAAAAGGAAAAAAAAAAAATTTCTTTTTGGACTGTTTTATATTCATTTAGTTCGAGAGTTCATATATATATATATATATTCTATGATTAAAATGTGTGCAGACGTGACTGCTTTTAATGATTTCTTTCGGGGACATGTCGATGCCCATTCCCTCCTCGCGAAATTGCAATAAATAAATAAATAAAGGTAACAATGAATAATGATAAGGACATGCTTATATATATATATATTCAAATGAATTTAGCTGGTCCAAAGCTCATCAAACTTAACCGACAATTGCGAATAATGGTTCGCCGATTTAATAATGAATTTTGTCAAAGTGGGTAAAGCTTTTTTGTGCCAAATATACGAACATTTCCCTATTTTCTACATCATTATTATATATTACCATAAATAATTAAAAAAAAAACAATTTCTCTAAATGCGCCTTGAAAAACCCTAAACTTCACAATTAGCATTAATTAACCAGTATTATATCAAAAATACCATTATTTTACTATTTTTATTTCAACACATACCTTTTTCAACTGTGATCCATGTGATCCAAAATATAGCGTAGTCACATTTTAATTTTATTGATTATAACGTTAAATTTATGGTGATCACACTAATTCATTGTGATCATACCTTGTATATCTTACTAATCATTTGATTAAAACATCATAAATTTAACGTTATGAGCAATAAGATCAATATGTGATCACACCATATTTTGGGTCACATGGTCACAGTTGAAGAAGAGTATGTGTTGAAGTCAAAATAGCAAAATAAAGGTATTTTTGATAATGCCCCTAATTAACCACTTTCGGTATAAATTAGAAAATTTCACAAGATCACTCAATGTTGTCATTATATATTTAGGTTTCGTTTTATCTCTAGGTGAAGAGTATAATACTAATACTAATATAGATGAAATATAATTATAACGAAATTATCATAAGATATAAAATATGTAAAGGAAATTGGGTTCCTAAATTTGTGTTTCTTTTTTTTTTATCATATTCAATATTTTTTTTGTAACAATGGCAAACCCATCGCAACAGCCTTTCGGGCCGAACGCTATCCGACCCCGCAGGACGGACAGTAAATTTTTGGACCCCCGCAATAGCCGACAAACTAAGTAGAATAGGTAAACCAGTCGAAACTGACCGATTCCGAAGAAGTTCAGACTTCAGGAGTAATCAAACCCAGAAGACTATAACCTCGCAATAGCCGATAAACCACGTAGAATAGATAAACCAGTCGAAACTGACCGATTTCGAGGAAGTTCAGACCTCAGGAGTAATCAAACCCACAAGCCTAGACTTGTCGTTTTCCTAAGTTGGAAATTTTCCCATCATATTCAATACATAATTTGCTGTAATTTGATATATAATTTTGTGGTTCCAAGAGGAGAAGTGTGACAACAAAAAGACGATGACACTTCAAAGCTCAAAGAAGAATCCCACTCTCGACGAGGAAAAGAAGAGGTCCAATGCGTTAATCACGGAGAGACAAAAGGACGAATTGAACCCCCTTATTACATCCTTTTCCCTTTATTTTTTCACTTTTTATTTTTTTATAGAAATAAAATATTGTTCTTTTTCCGAGAAAAAATAAAAAAAAAAACATTGATTTTATAAAAATTGAAAAGTGCCTAGAGCTACTCTTATTTTGTAATTTTTTAAACCTCGCACATACGTTTTTGGTTTGTTTGGACATTTAAAAATGGTGTAATTTTGAGTGGATATACGTATTTTCCGTGATTTTATTATGCAATTAAATTTTAATACTTTTTAAAAATATTTATGGATATTTTCTTGTAATTCAGGTGAAAATAATTGAGTGTTCCGATGAATTTTTTACCTGCGTTAAATATAATCATAGCATGTTATTTTATTTTGGTCCTATTCGATTAGGTTATATTTAGATTAATTTATTTTCCTTTTAGAAAAACGTAATCATTCGCTTTTTTGTATCGGATTCCATATGATTTATTTATATTTTAATCAAAATTTTAGAATAAATTTTGGGTTTTTCAGTTATTAGTATGTTTTATTCGGATTGGTTTGGATTTGATTTTTTCAAATTTTTAAAATTTTTTTACGTCAAATTTAATCCGGTTATAATTTCATTTTCTTTGATTTGTATCGGTTATTTTATAAATAACCAAATTGGCAACCCTTTCTGATTATATAAAATTTACAAAAAAAAAATGATGGAAAATAATAGTCAAATTAACCGAATATTAATGCCAAAGTGATATAAATAATCCGAAAAGATGTAAAGTGCTAATTAATTGTCAAAGAGGTCAATGAGGATTTAATTAGTTAAGCTGCCGATTGTTTAGTTGACACACAACCAATGCAAATCAAACGTCATATTTTTTTTCATAATCGAATTTTCTCAATGGTCAAAACGATATATATATAATAAATAGTCTAAAACTCACAATTTTTCAAAAATGTTTCATATAAAATCATGAATTTTATAATTTATGTATAAATTCATGAACTTTCTTAATCTTGTCATATTGCCACAATATTCCAAAGTTCATGATTTTATATACAAAAATTTAAAAATTCATAAAATTTATGTATAAAATCATGAACTTTCTTAATCTTGTCATATTGCCACAATATTCCAAAGTTCATGATTTTATATACAAAAATTAAAAAATTCATAAAATTCATGATTTGATATACAAATTATAAAGTTCATGATTTTATATGAAATTAATTTTTACATGGTAAAATCTGTTATTTTATATATATATATATATAATGGATAAATAAATAAAATGAGATTAAGTTCTTCGACGTCGACGAATCTTCACGGCCTCATCTATTCGTCTCCGGCAAAGAGGACAGCGTTTCAAACGCGACGAACATGCCATGCAGCAGCAGTTATGACCACACCTTCAAATTGCCAAAAAAAAGAAGCAATGGTTACAAAAATAAAATTAAAATAACAAAGATTCCCTTTTGATTTAATTCAATTTAATGACGGTCCAATTTTATTCAAATTACAAATCTCTTCGTTGTTTTTCATTTTGTTCACTTACTTAAGGAACAAGGCATTAGGCTCCCGGTCAAGGCAAACAACGCAGTCCTGACCTGAGAAAACCGAAACATAGAGTAAAGATGCCGTGCAATACAAGCAAGAGATTGAGACGCGGATTCAAACGCAAACGCAAACGCAAACTCCAAACGCCAAACGCCGGTTTACCTTCCGTCTCTTGCTCCGCTTTCCCAGCGGCTGCGGCGAGGGCGAGAGCGAGAGCTCTGCAACAAGACGACCTCACAACGTAAAAAACTTTTTTTTTTTTTGTTAAAGAACGTAAAAAAACTTTCGCATAGGTACGAATAATTAAAATATCGTATAAAAAATAATAATTAAAATATATATGATAGATAAAGTATACATTTGTTTTGAACAAATGCTTTTGTTAATTTCATTATTTACCATTTTACTTTTACGGTACGAGAGTCGAGATATCTTGAATATTTTGAAAATTTATGAAGTTCAAGATTTTATATAGAAATTATAAAATTTATAATTTTATATGGAGTTTTTTAAAAATTTATAATTTTTCAGACGATCGTCATTTTTTTTACAAATATATATTTTTTAAAATAGTTTTCGTTTCCGATATATTTACAAACACCCCAATATTTTAGTCTTGATATCTAAAACGATCGATCAGATACGACTGTAGATGTTAAAATGTGAGAAACGAGATCTTCGGGTACGGATCCAGACACCGGAAAATTCTCGTGTACCCGATCCATACCCATCCCGTAGCTAATTTGCATCTTTACAAAAAAGAAAAGACGAAAACCGAAAGATACCTGCTTCGGAACGCTAGCCATTTTCTTCTCTTTAGCATTGCAAACGCAGTTTCAAGCACACCAAAAGCCATCAAAACAGCAGAAGCATACTTAAACAGCCTGTCCGAAAGATAAGTAAACAATTTTGGTTCATCACAATTAACATCTTCAATAGCAAATATTAAGAAATATATATTTTTGGTAACCGGATATCCTATACCAAAGCCTAAACTAATTACGGGATCGGGAACCAGTCATGCATATAATTTGGATTATAGGTTCTCTCTCCAAACTTGAGGTTCGAATTCGGGTTAGGCTGTATCGAAGTTTGGGTTATTCACTTTCGTGTACATGAAATCTTACTATTACTAGGAGTCAATATATACATATATATATATATATACTCTTGTGTATATATATATAACACTAATCAATTGAGAATTCATTAATATGCTAATTAAGCAAATAGTAAGTAATAAGAGACATATACATGGAAATTTCTTCAACGTTAGAGATTCGGCCATCCAATTTCAACTCAGCAGAGATATAGAGAGACCCTTTCTTTGGCTTTTGGATTGTGATTTCTCCTGAATCATCTTTGATAGCCTGCAATCACATGAAATGAAATTCAAAAAAGAATATATATATATATATAATTAGAAAAATCCGAAATTCGAGTTCGACTTCCGTATCAATCCATGGGCATTTTTTATATTTTGTGTATTTATTTCTTCCATATTTTAGGGTTTTTTGTATTTGCGTACCTCTTGTCTCTTGATTAAAATTTATATCTCCCTTGATTACAGTTTACATATAACATAATATCATATTTTTATAAAAATTTGTCTTTAAATTTCGATATTAGGTATCGATCGACCCGAATGGATTTGGGTGAGGATATTATTTCGTGAGAAATTTGGATTCAAATTCGGATAATACCATTAAAACCCGATATTAATCCCATAATCTAACATATAATTCGTGGATTGTATACCGAATTATGTATTGGGAATTACGGATAATATATATATATATATATATATATATGTATGTATATTGTTCAACTCCACTTACGTACCTCACCAACGACGGTCAACAACGTACCAATTTGAAGAATATGCTCGGTGCGTTTTAATCTGATCAACTGAAAAAAAATAATTTAAAAATGATGTAATCGTCAAAACCGGTCGGACCAAAATATATATATATAAATCGAATAAATAAAAAAACTGATAATTATAAAATAAAACCTTGAGATTTTCGTCGATATAATGACTCTTTTGCCCTTCAAACACCTCGGACACTTCACTTCCAACCGCCGAAGTTAGGTTAGTTGCATCTGCTACATGGACAATATGTCCTGTTCCATCGTCCTAATTACAAAAAAAAAAAAAGATAATTAATGCTTAAATAATTTGGATTAGCGAGAGATTAGTAGAGGAAAACATGGGCTTTAATTAATTAATTATTTAATTAATTAATCACCAGATACCATGGGACCCGCTGGGTCGTCGAATACCATAACACATTCATTTCCTCCCAAACGCCCTTCTCCTTCTTCCTCTGATCATAGCGTAGCTCGACCTAATCGTTTCACGTCACGTATAAAACTATATAAACATTTACGATGTAAGTGTATATATATATACATACAATAATTTCATTATATATATATATATGTATATATATTATAGATGCTTACGGTTTCGTTGACTAAAACAGCTTGTAAGTCACTGTTCTTACACTTGATCGGTGTCTTGGAGCCAACCCTTCCGGACACAGCAACAATAAACGGTAATATTTTTGTCTCTTCGTCTAGCAATTTAGCATCGAGTAACGGGATCGATTTTAACCGAATAATACATAACCGTAACGGAACCAAATCCAGTATTTATGTTTTTTTTTTAAACAAATTGAACCGAACAAAATAAATAACCGAGAAGTCGAACATTTATTTGAAAAATGAGCATTTTTATCGATAAAAAAACCATATCCGAATAGTACCGAACTGAATAGTTATAAACCGAAATAAGCGAACCACCGAACCCAAACCGAAACAAAATAATCAAAGGTCTTCGGTCCAAACGCAACCGCAAACGCAAACGCAAACGCAAACGCAGAGTTAACCATAATTAATAATATAGAAAATAAATTTAGAGAAATGAAAATTTACTGCAAATTATTAACATACACAAATCGTTCAGTCGGGTGACGACTGTAGCCTTCTTGAGGACTTCATCGACATCATCTCTGCAACATTTAGAGAAGAAAATAATTAACTTCCTTAATAAAAATTAAAATTTAAATTTAAATAACAAATTAAAATAAAGAATATTATTCCGACAGTAAATATATAAACCTGAAACCGGCAATAATAAGGCCGAGGAAACAAAGAACGGCGGCTCCACACACGCACGAGAAAGTGAATTTCCCGCACGATTCCATCTTCGAGCCATATAATATACACATGCCATAACAAAAATGTAATGTCGGAGATTTTACATTATCATATATGTAAACTGTTATATATATATATATATATATATATATATATATATATAGAAAAAAGATAAAAAAAAACAAAAGTGAAAATCGGATTTAATGTGGAAAATCATTCGGTATCGAGAGTAAAAACCATGAAACCGTAATACTCTAAACAATTTTGTGAATTCGCCGAATTTATGGATTATATATATGTCCACACAATTTTAATCGAATAAGAAACACACTGAAATTACAAAATATTAACGGTAATATATATTCTCTTAGAGAACACTAAACACGCAGGCAATCACTTACAAATCATACAATAAAATCAAAGATTGTGGAGTCTTGAGCAAAACCCTCGGTATTGTGTAGAAGCTCTCAAAGCCTCCAGGTGAAGCAGAGGTTCTGAAAAACACGGAGGGGCGTTCTGGTCATTTCTTAATTTAGTGAATGAAACCCTAAGGGTTTCAAGGTTGTTCTCATTCGAACGGTTCTGCGTGTGTTTTCGGCCGAGAGTCTTCTCTCGTCCGGCGAGCATAGCTCGCGGTCTCCGGCGCCGTTCCGGCGGTGTCCGGTGGTTCCGGTCGGTTGTAACCCTAGCTACTAAACGCGGCTTCCTCTTCCCGAGACGTAGGCACCGAGATTTTATCTCGGTTGCTGAACTCGTATCCCGGTTGTCTCTTGCGTTCTTTCGTTCTGTTCACACGAGTGTAGATCGGAGAGGTTACGGTGAGGGATCGGTCGATAATCCACTACAAGTGGTATCAGAGCCTGGTCGAAGCGCGATTCGGTGGATTTCGGCGGCGTCTCGGTCATCCAGGTAAGTCTGAGTCTCGGTGGTTTTAGATCTGAGCGTTCTGATGTTTCTTTCGAGTGTTTCAGGGCTCGGAACAGAGAGAGCGAAGGTCAGAAGGTCAGATCGGCGGTGAAAGATCCTGTGACGGAGCTCAGACCGGTGGGACGAAGATCGGTAAGTCTCGGATCTAACTCGAGCTGAGTCAATCAGCCGAGTTCAGAGCCCGAGGAGGTAAGTTGTGCCTGTGTGCGGTTAGATCTAGGGTTTCTGGGTGAAAACCGGTGGAGAACCGGCGATTTTCCGGCGAAATTGGCCGTGACTCGCCGAGTCGCGGCTGAGTCGGAGAATCGGGGTGAGTCAACCACCGGGTTGACTCGGGTGACTCGGCGGCTTCCGCAATCCGAAATTAGGGTTTTCGGTTTAAACCGGTTTAGCCGGTTTAAATCCGATTGAGTAATTAAACCCGGTTCAATTTTTCAATCGAACCGGTTTAGGTTGGTCAAGTCAAATCGTTGACCAAAATTGGTCAACAGTTGACCGGTAAGGTCAAACCGGACCGGTTCAGGTCAATTGGACCGGTTCAGGTCCGGTTTGGGGTCAATGGGACCGATTCAGTCCGGTTCAGGTCAATCCAGGTCCGGTTTAGGACAATTAGGTCTGGTTTAGGACAATTAGGTCCGGTTTAGGTCAGTCCAGGTCCGGTTTAGGACAATTAGGTCCGGTTTAAGTCATTCCAGGTCCGGTTTAGGACAATTAGGTCCGGTTTAGGTCATTCCAGGTCCGGTTTAGGTCAATTGAGTCCGGTTTAGGTCATTCCAGGTCCGGTTTAGGTTAATTGAGTCCGGTTTTGGTCAATTTGAGTCTGGTTTAGGTCAACCTAGGTCTGGTTCTTGTCAATTCAGGCTAAGTTAGGCTGGTTTAGGTCTAATTAGGGTCTGATTTGTTCGGTTCTGTCTAATTCAGACTGGAATTGAGTCCGGTTTAGGTCATTCCAGGTCCGGTTTAGGTTAATTGAGTCCGGTTTTGGTCAATTTGAGTCTGGTTTAGGTCAACCTAGGTCTGGTTCTTGTCAATTCAGGCTAAGTTAGGCTGGTTTAGGTCTAATTAGGGTCTGATTTGTTCGGTTCTGTCTAATTCAGACTGGTTTAGGGCAATTAAGTCGGGAAGAGGTCAATGTAGGCCGGTTTAGACTTGATATAGGTCTGATGTAGGTCTGTTTTGTCCGGTTAAGGCTAGAATTGTCCGGGTTTAGATCAATAGGGTTCGGTTTAGGTAAATCAGACTAGGTATAGGCTGGAATAGGTCTGATTTAGGTCTGGTTTATCGGAATAGGACTAGTATTGATCAGGTTAAGGTCTGAATTCGTGGTTTAGGGCCAGATTAGATCGGTTTAGGGTCTGGAATGTACAATTAGGACTAGAACTAACTGGTTTAGGGTTAGGTTAGTTCAAATTAGGTCTGATGGTATCTGGTTTAGGGCATAGTGGACTGATTTAGGGTGGATTAAGGTCTGTAGTGATCGGTTTACCTTGTTAGGCTGGTCTAGTGTCAAATTTGGCTTAGTTTAGTGAAATATACTAAGGATAGACCTGTTTAGATCTCGGTTTAGCTGATGTGAGTCATAGATTCCTGTCTTTCTGTTCAGTATAGGTCTGAACAGGTGGGATTTGATGACGTTTAGCTGGGTAAGAGGTCTGGGTAGACTAAAATAGGCTGGTATAGGTCTAAGATTGACTGGTTTAGGTCGGTATAGATCTGTAAGGGTCGTTTGTGGGTCTCGGTTAGGTCTGGTTTAGCCAAATTTGGGTTAGTCTAGCTTAGTCTAGGTCTGATCAGTAGGTAATTAGGTCAAAATAGACTTGGTTAGGTCTGATTAGGTAGAGACGTACCTAGGTTTAGGACCGATAGACTTAGGGTTAGAGCGTGTTTAAGCACGGCTAGGTAGAAACATACCTAGGGTTAAGTCCTCTAGGGTTCGGTCTCATCCCTCGTGTCATGTTACATCACTTCTAGGGTCGGGTAAGTCACTTCCGGGTTGAGTCGGTTTTAGACTCAGGTTTTATCATCGTAGGATGATGGAGTTAGATTGTCTAGCTCGGTATACCCCGAAAGGGGTATGGTGGAAGGACTAGGGGTCTCGGGCAAAACCCGAGAAATCGGGTTGCAGGAGTAGACCAAGGACCAGGTGGAGTGAGTTGTTCCGCGGGTAGGTAGGGACACTACAAGAAGGTGTTGTAGGTCCCGAATGACGAGGTAGGGAGAGTCCGAGGTAGAAGGACATATGACCTCGGAGGAGTAAACCGAAGCTGCTTCGGTTCTCGGTGGTAGGTCAGGAGGTGAGGTCTCCACATTTAGGTGGAGTTTCCTCGGGTAGGATGCTCAGGAGATGGTGTGAGCAGGGAGGTGTCGGGTTATCACCGGGTAGAGTCGGTGTAGGTTGGCGCTAGGACACTCTCTCGAGGAGAAGCACGTGCACTCACGTGCCTCATTCTCGGTGGAGCATCGTAGATGACTAGGATCGTCTTCACGGGATAAAACCGTGGGACAATCTTAGTTGGCAGGTTAGGGTCCGTGGGTAGAAGTCGCTAACTCATAGGTGGTGTAGACTCTACGGGGATCCAGGGCTAGGTTATCTAGCAGGTTCGGTAGTATGACTCAGGGTAGTCTCGGGGAAGTCGGGATAGACTTAGGAGACGAGTAGACGTCGGGTATAATCCTCGGGTTAGCTAGCAGGTATAGTCTTGGACTTTACTAGGAGGGTTAGTTAGACGGTCTAGAGAGTCATAACTAGTCGAGGTCTTAGCTAGTCTTCGGAAAACGGAAGGTGTCGGGGACACTCGTTTTGGGTAGACTAGGTTTGCGTGTTTATTTCTTTATCACGCTGAGACGTACTTATGGTACGCTCGGTAAGGACTCTATTAGAGCGGCACGTTTGATACGCCTAGGATGTGTCGGGAGGTAGAGTTAACAAATGGAAGTAGACGGGAAGCGACAGCGTGCTAGGGTTCATGTTTGGCGTTATATATTGTGTTTGCTTTGCTTCGTGTTTCCTTTTGCAGGTTTTGCTGAAGAAGGTGGAGATTTGTGGAGTCTTGAGCAAAACCCTCGGTATTGTGTAGAAGCTCTCAAAGCCTCCAGGTGAAGCAGAGGTTCTGAAAAACACGGAGGGGCATTCTGGTCATTTCTTAATTTAGTGAATGAAACCCTAAGGGTTTCAAGGTTGTTCTCATTCGAACGGTTCTGCGTGTGTTTTCGGCCGAGAGTCTTCTCTCGTCCGGCGAGCATAGCTCGCGGTCTCCGGCGCCGTTCCGGCGGTGTCCGGTGGTTCCGGTCGGTTGTAACCCTAGCTACTAAACGCGGCTTCCTCTTCCCGAGACGTAGGCACCGAGATTTTATCTCGGTTGCTGAACTCGTATCCCGGTTGTCTCTTGCGTTCTTTCGTTCTGTTCACACGAGTGTAGATCGGAGAGGTTACGGTGAGGGATCGGTCGATAATCCACTACAAAGATATATAAGATAATATACCAATATATAACTCAATCGCAAAAGAATAATATATAAAAAACAAATTTGATAAAAAAAAAAAAAACCTTAATTGATCCGATTCTAACCTTAGGAATCAAAATCCAACCACACAAAATCAAGAACAGCGAGAGTAAAAGGTATATATACTCACAATTTTAGACCAACACACACACATATACATATATATATATATATATATCGACCCACTGAATTTATATAGAAATCTGCATGATCTTTAATAAAAAGGTGAAGGAAAATTCTATAGGAGAAAATTCGATGGAGTTTTCTATGGAGAAATAAGCGTTAAATTCGGTAAATATCCCACCACGTTGGAGGGAAATTCTACAGTGCTTACGTCGTGACTTACGTGCATGCATGCATGCATTATGTCGAAATTATTCTTTTTAAGACCACATTCGACGAAATTAATCTCGTTTGTCATTGCACCTCTTTCGTTCTGAATTCATCTAAATTTATTATCATAATAATATTTATTATTATTATTTCATCAAAAAAAATATTTATTATGATTAATATCGTTAATTATTATTACTATTAAAATCTCTCGGTTCTAACATGCACCGCATTAAGACACTGTTTCGTTGGTTCGGATAAGATTTTTATATTCCCAAGTTGTCGATTCCTTTTCTTTAATTAATTCGTTTTTTTATTGGACATGCGATTTGAGATTCCTAGAAGTTTAATTCCACTTCATTTATTGCGTAATTATTACACTTTTATTCAATAATAAGATTACCAATGCAAATCTCAATTAATCCCTCTTATCGATGTCGTCGAATGGATGGATTTTGGTTTAGTTCTACTGGTAAAGAATAATTTTTTTTTAAAAAAAAAAGAATTTATTTCTAATTTGAATGAAAAATTAATTACATTCTAGAAAAAAAAAATATAACCTTTTAATTTTTATATCGAATTCGCTTCATTTCCACTGTGTTTAATTTTAGTTCAAATTGTCAAGAAAAAATTTATTTTTTCCAACTATAATTTTTATTCGTTTTTATTGACTTTTATTTTAGTTCAAATTGCCTTAAAAAAATCTGATCTTTTCCAATTATTATTTTTTTCGTTCTGATTTATATTCAATTTTTTTTTATTTTAAAAAACCATAACTGAAATCAAACCCTATCCAATTATGAATAGATATTTTAGAAAATCATATCCGTTTGATTTGAATTTTTTGGACATTTGATTGAACATTTTTGCAATTTCATGAACCAAATGGACACCCAAATAACACACATTCCTTTTCCGTACAAATAACCTTACGATGAGCTTACAAGAAAGAAAACGACAAGGGCAATACATTGACTTCAATCAACAACTCGCTCATCCGCCACAGAGGAAAACAGAGATGATAACCCTTTTCGTCTCTCGTTTTCTTCCTTCCTTCCTTTTTGGCCTTTCCAGATTTAAACACCCCCTGCCTGAAACAAGAACAACAGGTGGAGCCGAGCCGAGTTCCGATCTTATTCTTCTCCTACAACGTTAACGAGCTCGTATTCCACGAGGGACAGGTTATTTCCCTCTTTCACCGTGAATTCCGCTGGTTCGGTGGCTTCGATCCGTCCCCATTTGTCCACCGCTATCCTCATCGACCCCTTGAACATGTCTATCTTTGCGTTCCTGAGGTTTACCGTCGCTCCTGGCTTCATCACGTCCACTGACCCCAGAAAGATTTATGAGTTAGTCATAAAGTTCACGGATTTACGATACAACCTGATAGTAGTGATATATGATGAAAGCGATCTAACGTAATCACATCAAACCCCGAAATGTGCAACACTACAAGCGGAGCGAAGAAGAAAGGCAGCACCTTTCGGCATTTTACAGACAAATATATCAACTTAGGAAGCCGAACAGAGTCTCCTATGTTAGTAAGTTCCAGGCCACATTCAGCTTCAGCCCAGCAGAGAGGCTATACGTATCAAGAGTCTACACATGTTCGGCTTAAGCTTTCGAGACAAATAAAATTGAACAAAACTTTTCCGAGGAAACCCAACTACCTTTGTTGTAATTACAAATGACACCTGCCATGTCAATTGTGTTAGAAAACCGACTTCCCTTTCTTAAGAACAGCAACAGAGTTAACTTAAGTTCAGAATTGGACAAACCCAGATAAGAGAGGATCATGGATTGCTGCATGACAATGGCTAGAACACAATAAGTCGGGTGCTAACCTCGTATACCTCCATAAACTATGAGACTAGTTCATACCACAATGTTGTTTGGTAGATGAGAGCAACAGGTGTAGAAGAAGTTAATCCTGTCCTTGTTAAGACACAGCCATACTTCCCACGTCCCAAAATGAAGGGATTATCGATCAATATAGAGAGAGACGTCGAGGGAAAACAAAATGGAACAAAACAGACAGCTTTGAGATAAGACTCAACTAAATAAAGTTTTCTCAGCAATAGCCGTACGACTACTTCAAGATCTCTTATCGGTTTGGGGAGAATTCCAAGCATATACATCAAAGTAAACAACAAGACTGGCGAGATGATCATCTACAGATACCATGGACAAGAAATCTGCAATCTTGTCTCGCCCGACAAGAACGTATACAAGACACTAAGCGTCGCGCAGTTAATAAGGCATAAACCGTATAGCTAAGAAAATATCACGCAATATTTAATCAGAACTATCACAGTTACTTGTGTTTTTTCATTTGAACACTGATCAAATGTTTATGGATTAAGTGAAACACCAGCCTATTGGAGTTCGGGGCAACTTCCACAATGTTTCATGGACCGAATCAGCAATTGTGTCAATCAAAGGAGCTAGGAAAATTCGAACCACATAAACCCAACAAGGCCTTCGTCTATATTGGTCGCAGATTCTTCAGATATTATCAATTCAAAACAAATTGTGATTAAAAGAAACCTAGTATTCTGCAAGATCGACGAATACCCAGAAGAGAAACTATCCAGAAAGAACAAAAGAGGGAATAAATGCCTCACCTTGATCGTTGCGAGCGGTGAAGAGGATGGTACCGGTCTCGTCTCCGACAAGACACTCGGCGATCCGTGTCGGTCGGAGCTGAGGAGCCGCAGAAGCGCCCGACCCACCCTTCTGAAGGACGGTCATCTGATCCACGACCTTAACGGTCAAGGTGTGACCGTTCGTGCCCGGTTTCAGCTGATCCACCTTGATGAACACCGGTTTCCTCTTCTCCGGCATGGTCTGAGGCTGCGACTGCTGCTCCCGCACTTGGTACTGACGCGCCGCCTCGGGATTCCTCCCTCCTCGTCTCTGCGGAGGATGCCCGTTCCTCGGCCGAGGTCTGTGCTGCTGGAAATTGCTGCCGGTGTTGTTCGACGCCATTGACGATTGGAGAGGGATGCAAAGGAGGAATCTCGTAGACTGGTGTGTTTTGGAATTGTTTCTTCGATTCGTAGAATAAAAACCCTAGAAAAGGAAGACGATGAGATTTCTGATCAGTGGGAATATTTCTTTATTTTATCTTTTTTTAAATTAAAAAAAAAAAGAAAAGAAAAAACGACGCTATACGAACGTGGCCACCTCAAATCAAATGGGCCCTACAAGTAGTAGGCCCATTCAATATGGGCTTATATTCTATTGATGGGCTTATCTTACATGTGGAATATTATATATATATATATATATATATATATATATATATATATATATATATATATATTCCCCGTTTTGCTTATAATTATATTTTCGTATGCTTATTCGAAATTAAAGTTTAGAAATTATTATGTTAAAAAATAATCATCTTTATCACTAATTGATCAAATCAAAGTTTAGGAATTATTGTGTTAAAAAATACAAATTTAGAAATTAATGTGTTAAAAAATATAAGTTTAGAAATTATTATGTTCAAAAATACAAGAAAAAAATATTTTTTATATCCACATCTTAATATCCACATCTTCGATTCACAATTTAATATCCACATCTTTTTTATAGCTAAGCCACCAAAATAATATTTCCTTAGCACAATTTTATTTAGTTTATTTTCCAAAATTTTATTTGTATAGAATTCAATGCATAGAGTTAAATATTTTTTTCACAATTTAATATCCAAATCTTTTTTTATAGCTGAGCCACCAAAATAATATTTTTTTAACACAATTTTATTTATTTTTTCCGTCTTATACCATTATCACATCGTTTCATTTCAATTATAGTTATCATGCAAATCAATATATCTATTTTATAAATAACGTAACAGATTTATTGATCAGATTATATATATATATATATACAAATATTTAAACATACAAAAATTGTAACTTGGTATAATTCCCTGCTGGGCTCTATTCTCATTGATCACATATATATATACATTGAGAGTATTATGGAAACGGTTACATATATGGAAAGATATATGCAATCACGTAAGATCCTATATTAGTCCGTAATATCCTCTATCACACCCCCACAGTCGGAGCGGGAGAAGGTCGAACGCTCAGACTGGATCGAAATTCAAGGAACAACGATGATGGTAGGCCCTTGGTGAAGATGTCCGCATATTGAGATGACGAGGGAACATGCAGAACTCGTACCTGACCGATGGCAACCTTTTCGCGTACAAAATGGATGTCAATCTCGATATGCTTCGTTCTTTGATGTTGAACAGGATTCGCCGACATATATACCGCACTGACATTGTCGCAAAAGACCACGGTTGAACGAGTGAGAGGACAATGAAGTTCCGTGAGTAGGTTACGTAACCAGCAAGCTTCGGCCACCGCATTAGCAACACCACGATACTCTGCTTCGGCACTTGAACGGGAAGTCGTTTGTTGACGTTTGGATGACCAAGAAACCAAGTTGTCTCCAAGGAAAACACAGTAGCCAGATGTTGAGCGACGCGTGTCGGGGCAGCCGGCCCAATCGGCATCGGAGTAGGCTGTTATAGTTGATGGAGACGATATGCAAAGGTGAATTCCGTGATTCATTGTCCCTCGAACATACCTGAGGATGCGTTTCAATGCGTTCATGTGTGGCTCCCGTGGATCATGCATGAAGAGACATATTTGTTGAACCGCATATGCAATGTCGGGGCGTGTAAATGTTAGGTATTGTAGGGCACCGGCAAGACTTCGGTATAGAGTAGGATCTTCGACAGGTGGACCAACATCTGCTGCGAGTTTTGATTTGGTGTCGGCTGGAGTGAGACATGGATTGCATGAATCCAAGTTGGCTCGGTGAAGAATGTCGGCGGCATATTGTGATTGGCATAAGAACAATCCTTCCTTATTCGATGTAGCTTGTACACCAAGGAAATAGTGCAGTGAGCCAAGATCCGTCATAGCAAATTCTCCATGCAAAGACTGAATGATTTCACCGAGAAAAGCCGAGGAAGATGCCGTAAGGATGATATCGTCCACATAAAGGAGAAGAAATGCCGTCCCCGTGGGTTTTCGCATGATGAAGAGAGATGAGTCACATTTGCTGTGATTGAATCCAAGTTTGCAAACAAAAGCTGCAAACCGATGAAACCATGCGCGTGGTGCTTGCTTTAGGCCGTAGAGTGATCGGCGTAAGAGGCAAACATGATCCGACCTCTCACGATCGGCAAATCCCGGCGGTTGATGCATGTAGACGGTTTCATGTAGATTGCCATGGAGGAATGCATTCTTGACGTCGAGTTGATGGATTGGCCATCGGTGAGACAAAGCAATGCTTAGAACAACACGTATAGTCGCCGGTTTAACTACGGGACTGAATGTATCTCCATAATCGAGCCCCGGTTGTTGAGACTTGCCATTTGCCACTAGACGCGCCTTGTAACGTGCATGAGATCCATCTGCATTGAACTTATGCCTGAAAAGCCACATAGAACGAACCACGTTAACCCCGGGGGGTCGGGGAACCAAGTCCCACGTCCCGTTTTTAATAAGAGCATCATATTTCTCATACATAGCAGCCCGCCAATGGTGATTCTTTAGGGCAAAGAGATGAGATTTTGGTAGAGGGGAGATTTGGTCAGTGAGTAACGTAAGAACTTGTTTTCTTTTGGTGATTCCCGATTTACTCCGGGTTGTCATGGGATGTGGGGCGAGGGTTGAGGTCGGTGCAGGCGGTCTAGGTGGTATGATGGGGGTTGTGTTCGGTGGGAGTGTTGGCGTCGTCGGTGAGTCAAGGGGCAACTCGCGGAGTGTTCGATAGAAGGTATTGGTTTCGGTATCATTATCAAGAAATTCATAAGAAGATGATGGTGTTTGTGTGAAAGTGGAGAAAGGGAATTTGTTCTCATCAAAGTACACATGACGTGAGATGATGATTTTACGAGAGACGAGATCAAAACATCTATAGCCACGATGATGAGATGGGTAACCGAGAAATACACATGGGGTGGATCTCGGTGAAAGTTTGTGAGGAGCGGTGGAGATGAGGTTTGGGTAGCACAAACAACCGAAGACACGTAGGTGAGAGAGTGAGATAGGTTTGGCAAAAAGTTTGGTGAAGGGGCTGTTGTTGCCAATGGTTGTCGAAGGCAAGAGATTTAGGATATGTGCACTCATGTGTAAAGCTTCCACCCAAAAATGTGGTGGAAGATTTGCTTGAAAGAGTAGAGTGCGTATGAGATTATTGATGGTTCGTATGATCCTTTCGGCTTTGCCGTTTTGTTGAGAGGTGTGGGGGCAAGAAAAACGAGCTAAGATCCCGTGTTTATCAAGAAAGGTTTGAAAGATTTTGTTGTCGAATTCACCCCCATGATCACATTGAAAGGCTTTGATGGTTGTTTTAAATTGGTTTTGAACGTATGAATGAAAGAGTAGGAATTTAGAAAAGACGTCACTTTTTCGACGGAGTGGATATACCCAAAGAAATTGAGTGAAATGATCAAGAAACACGACATAATAACGTAAACCACTAACACTCGAGATGGGAGATGTCCAAACATCCGAATGAATTATTTGAAAAGGTTCCGAAACCAATGTATTAGAACGAAAGAAAGGAAGTCGAACACTTTTACCGAGATGACATGCTTCACAAGTCGAAGACACGTCCGGCTTATTACAATGAATAAATCCATGAGAAAGCAAATGTTGAAAAACCGAGTTGCCCGTGTGACCCAATCGACGATGCCAAATGGTGGTAGATGGAGTGAGCAAAGCAATAGGAGCGTGAATGTCGGTGTTGGTGTGTTCTATGATTGGGTAGAGAGGCCCGGTGCTATCACATCGGAGAAGAATCCGTTGTGTGGGACGATCCTTGACAGAAAAACCAAGAGGATCAAACTCAATAGAACAGTTATTATCGGTAGTGAATTGACGGACTGAAACAAGATTTTTAATAATGGAGGGCGCAACAAGAACATTGCGTAAAGTAAGGTTTCGTGAAGAGGAAGAAATGGTGGTTTGGCCAGATTTATGAATGGGAATTAAAGAACCATCACCGACGGTGACGGAGGGAGTGATGCTCGAATTAAAAACAGAGTGTAGGTTACCTGGCTGGTTCGTGAGGTGAGCCGTCGCGCCGCTGTCCATGTACCATGCATTGTCGGCTGGGTTTTGTAACGTCATGGTGTTGAAGGCTTGTGCTAGGGCAGTCGCAGGTTCGACATTTGCCGCGGGTGGTGTATGGGTCGACCATTGAGGCGAGGGGACACGAGCTTGAGATTGTTGTCCCGGGTTTGGTCCAAGAATACCAGGAGCATAGGCCGGATGTGCCCAGGGGTTTGGCCAAAATGATGGCCAGTTATTGTTCCACGATGGTCCGTTGTTATGGTTATTGTTGTGGAATCTTCGTCCACGAGATTGGCGGCCACGACGATTTCCATGACGACCATCGCGTTGATGATAAGGACGCGGAGAAGAAGACCATGAGGGAGGAGGTCGTGGAGATGCTGTAGTTTCCGTGTAGAGTACGGTTGGTGAAGACGAGTGTTCGGTGTGAGAGGGCTGATGACGAATGGTCTTGGAAAGACGTTGTTCTTCGAGTGTGAGCATAGATCTTGCATCTTCAAATGTGGGGAATGGTGACTTATGTTTGATAACATTGACGATGTTATCAAACTTCTCGTTGAGACCGTTGAGCATATGCATAACCAAGGAACGATCGGAGAGTTCGGCGTCGATGTTGGATAGGAGATCCGAAAGTTTCTTCAACTTTTGACAGTACTCTTGAACACTGAGATCTCCAATGGTGAGAGTGTGGAGTTCATGTTCAAGTTGGATTGCTCGTGCCTCCTTGTTGTCACGAAATTGATTTTCCAATCGCGTCCATAGCGCTTGTGCCGTACTTTTCTTCTTAAGCACGTTCGTGAGCATCGGTTGTGATATAGTGCCGTAGATCCACAACTTGACAAGGCCGTCAATTCTTGTCCAATACGTATCATCTGGTCCTGATGGTTGGGTTGTGCCATCGAGGTGACCCATAACACCGAAACTGAGACAGTGTGTCTCAAACAATTCACGCCAAGCATCATAATTGAATTCGTCCATGTTGAGCGTGATCGGAATGTGCGATTTGATGTTGCTCACTCCAAAGGGCTTCTCAGTTTGGTTTGTATCGGTAGCCATGGCTGTTTAGAGGAGAGGTGATGAAGAAGAGAAGAAGAAGATGACGGCCGGGTTGAGAAAAGAAGAAGAGAGAGATGGCGAAAAGGGTTAAGAAGATTTGGAAATCTCTGATACCATGTAACTTGGTATAATTCCCTGCTGGGCTCTATTCTCATTGATCACATATATATATACATTGAGAGTATTATGGAAACGGTTACATATATGGAAAGATATATGCAATCACGTAAGATCCTATATTAGTCCGTAATATCCTCTATCAAAAATATCATTTCGAATAATAAATTTTAAAATATCTTGAGAAAATGAACACTAAATTATTTCAAGAAAAAAATGTTGATAAAAAAAATACACGAAGGAAACCAAATCACTGTCCGAATGATTCAAAAACTAAGGCTATAATAAACAAACTTCACATATATACAACGAATCATTTACACACGAGATTTGCCTCATCCATCACAGAAACAGCAATAAGAACAAATACGACATCGCCCCAAAACAATGTGTGTATATATATATACATACATGTATATATATCGTCGTGATCTCAGCCCAACGAATCATCTTCCGACACAACAGTCAAGAGAGAGTACTTGGCTTTAATGGAGATTTTCCCGCCCTCCACGCAAAGCTTGGCCCCGGTCACGACCCAGTAACCAGGCGGCTCTTCCGGCCCCCGGACCTTCTCCTTCGTGTCCACCAGATTCAGCAGCTTCGGCTTCACCGGCGGCG